AAAGTAATACCACTCCGTCAATTTCATAGTTGGTACTTCAGTCCGGTAGCTGTACAGTGCGGCGTACACAAGAGTGTAAGTAGAGTTTAAAAAACAAATTATAAATCAACAATTTATTAGATTAAAAAAAAAATAATTTCAAATCAATATTCACAGGAACACTAATACCCCTGAAAACTGAGCATCACTTAAGTTACCTCCTGTATAAGGCTTTCGATAACACGCCACTGTGACGAGGTAAGACACGTAGACGAGAGAAAACGTTTCTAAAATTACGTTCCAAGTAAACATCCTCAAAAATGCGCGGTTTTCCTTTGCTGAATCAGAATAACATGATAAAAATAGCCATCATAATACAAAGAGCCCTCTTCCAGCGACCAATTTACAGTCAGTCACTGGCTGACGCTAATCTAGCACCGACATCTCCAGGAACATGGCTGAAATATGACAGTGACAATAACGTCGGGGCACACACGTGTGACTGAAAAGCCCGCCGGAATAATTTAGCCGTAGCGTTTAATTTAGTAATAATGTCTGCCTTCTAACGACGGCGACGGAGATGCTGTGACATGACATGCATTCAGTCAACATTAATAACAATGATTATAATCGCAGGTATAAACCAGGCTGTAGGGTTCATATTACCTACATAAATATAAGGTTTATCCTCCAGATTGAAGTATAAACGAGACATCCATCCTGTTTATTTAAAAAATGCCAATTATGCTAAACTGGAACAAAGTGTGTATGCTGATTATACATACAGGGTGTAACTTTAAGTGGGGGTCAGATTTTTAGGGGTAATAGTACGTGTTCCCCTGAATACGAATCTGCAATTCTTTTTTTTAATCAAATAAATACTCGAGTTATAAATAGTTTTTTAAAAATGCACGTACGCCGCCGCTGTAATTTTCATGTATTACAAATACATGAATTGTAGGCAATCTACAGTGCATGTGAACTAGGGAGATAGTGCGGGTCAACGGTGGCGAAGTGAATGGAGTCAGTTGTTGTTCCGTATTTAGAGATATCTAACCGTGAATTTGAATGTTTTTCATAGCTGGAAGTCATCAACAGACTATTTGTTTTTGTGTATTTCATTTATCATTATTGATTGCTGCTTGAGTTTTTTGCCGAGTTACTTGTTGCGTACTGTTTGTGTGGTGAATGGTGAACACCCACTCAACAAAAGTAGCTCGTGACGAATGATGTGAAATTGTGCATGCGCTGCAACTAAAGCGCGCCGCTATTTGAGGTTACACTAGCTTCTCCAGCGGCGGGGTATGAAATAAGATTTTACGACGGAATTTGAAAAAATAAACTATTGATACACGTTTCTTAAAAGTCAAAGGAAGCCACTCAAACACTCAAAGTTACACCCGTATACTGAAGGTATATTTTTAAGGACATGAAAAATCTACAAACTCATCAAGTTTTAAAACTTCCGAACTTACTCAACTATAAAATCTTAAATCCACAATCGAGATAATGATAATTGTCATTTACAATTACTTTAAGGTCATTCCTCTCGATTCTCCGACCAAGTAATCATTAACATTAACACAGTTGATACTTAAGTTCGTACATCCATTTTGTTACATTTCAATATAACAAAGCAAATTGAATTTGAATTAGAATAACTGATTATTATTTGAATTAAGTATCAACGTATTATTTTTATTTTAAAAAAAACTTATTGTTATAATACTTTTAGCCAAGTTGGATAATAATTACCAAGTACATACAGGGTACGAGGTATGTTCAGAAAATAACCGAACTTTTTTAATTTTGCGCTAATGGAGATATTTAGTGATATGCGGTTGGCAATACTGGGTTGCGCATAACCTCCTCTGTAACCATATGTTGGATTGTTGATGTGTTTTCGTGATATTGTTATTTGAGTGCAACGTGTTCAAGTGTTAGTGACAATTTTTGAAATGTGTGTTTTTTGTAGAACGAAGATGCAACATAAAATTTTGCGTGAAACTGAGGAAAACTTTCATGGAAACGTTTCAACTTTTCAAGCAAACTTACAGAGACGTAGCTCTGGGTCGTACGCAATGTTACAAATGGTACAAATGTTACAAAGTGGTTTTCATGATTTAAAAGTGGTCGTCAGTCAATTGAAGATGATCCTCGACCAGGAAGGTCTTCGACTACAACTAATAACTCCCACGTTCATAAAGTCAAAGATTTGGTGCGTGCAAATCGCCGATTGATTGTCAAAGACAGCATTGCAGAAGTTAACATCTCAATTTGGTCATGCCATGAAATTTTGACTGAAAAATGGAACATGCATCGAGTTGCAGCAAAATTGTTTCTCGTTTGATGACCTATCAACTGAAAGAAAATCGTGTAGTCGTTTGTCTGCAACTCCTGGAACAATCCTTTGACGATGCAACATATATTCAAAGGATCATAACGGGAGAAGAAGCTGGGTTACGACATTGAGATAAAAGTTCAATCATCACAATGAATTAGCAGAGGATATCCACGCCCCAAGAAAGCATGTCAGTCTCGATCCAATGTCAAAGTGATTTCCACCGTTTTTTTCTAGACTTTAAGGGAATTGTGCTTTTTGAATTCTTACCTCAAGGCGAAACTGTGTTGTGTACTATCAAGGCGTTTTACAACAATTACATGAAAAAATCCACAAAAAGGGACCAGAGTTGTGGCGAGAGAACTCATGGTTCTTGCACCATAATATGTGCCCGCAAATCGTCAGTTTTGTGACAAAAATCAGATTATTGTCCTCCCTCACCCTCCTTACTCGCCAGACTTGGCTCCTTGAGATTTTTTCTTATTTCCGAAATTATCGGTGCTAAAAGGACGCCGTTTTCAGACCATTGATGGCATCAAAGCAAATTCGTCACAGACTTTAAAGGCCATTTCAAATGAAGCTATACAGGACTACTTCGCGAAATGGAAATACCGCTGGGAAAAGTGTGTGATTATGGATTGGTTGGGGAGTACTTTGAAGGAGACAAGAACCAATAATGCATAAAATTAATAATGAAGTTTAAAATATAAATTTCGGTTATTTTCTAAACAAACCACGTATATCATTTACTTCATTTACTTATTAACTCCAAGACGGTGCACTTAACAACGTGCAGTAAAATATCTTTTTGTAAAACCTTTATCGCTTCATTAAGGTTCAATATTAAATATTAATAGTAGGTAGGTAATTTGTTCTGTAACTTTGTGTTCCCAAATCGACATTAAAGTTTGGCAAGACGTTTCTATTAACACCCCGTACTACTTCTAAACTTCAAAAGTTGTTTATAGTTTAAACGACTGATCAACAAACTAATAGATAACCTCTTCAGATTGGGTGTATCAAAAACCAATGTCGAGTCTTCAAAGAATATTGGTTACTCATAGTTTTACTAAACATGATAACATGATGTAAACAATATGAATAGTACCTAATTCGATATGTTCAAATTGTTTTTTTCGACAATATCTCAAGAAACAAATGATAGGTACATGTCAATTCTGACCTCATTTTGATTATTAATTAAATGGTATTTCCAAATATTTAGTTAAAAATAAATTTTCTATTTGGTTACTGCATCCGATACATTATCAACAAATACCGACCTAGTTCTTACTTAAAATTAAAGTCGTAAAAACAATTATTATGATCACCAGAATTATATAAACAAATACCTAAATACCATAGATATTATTGATATCTTTATGTAGTAAAATTACCTATAAGTTTAAGTAGGTACCTACTCAAAAGTTTAATCTTGATATTTATAAAAACATAAATATCAACTGAACTCACCTACTAAGATAGTCACAAACTTTCTAGAAATGCAATCAATCTCTCACAACTAATACGATGTTGATAATAATTTCAGAACCCATCTTATTGTAAAATTATTAACACAATAACGGGACATGCATACTTACTTTCACAATATAATCAGGAAATACATAAAATTACCAGGAAATAAGTGACACGGGAGAGAGTCAACTTCTGGTATTTTCTAACGAAAGAAAGGTTTTAATAACATTAATAAATTTAAGTATAATGCAAACAATGGCGCAAAAAAATGTACCTAACAATTTACAGTTTGTGTAGAAAATAAGGTCTATAAAACATACCTTTATAAATTAAAATTACTATGCTTGGTTAGACATGGGTAAAAATAGTGCATAAATTATAAATAGATGTAGATCCTTCGGCAAACTAAAAAATAAGATCGGTAAAAAACATTGGAGAATGATTTTTATGGCATCTCATAAAATAAATTCGCTTATCTGTATCTGGCAATTTCATAAACTCAAATACACGCTTCACATAGCACCGACGAATCTGCCAGATGTTAAATTGTACCATTGCAATTAGCGACGCTAATAAATATTAAATATTTGTGCGTCTACCTATTTCCACGATTAGAAAAATAATTGTACACTGTTTTATTGTTTTTTTTCGTTTCTTGACCTTTAACGAGGTATCCTATCCACACCCAAGTTAAACCGCATTTGATACAATAGGTAGGTACACCTATTATATACCGTTTCAATTCCTGTATCACGAAGCCAGTATACCTATTACCTGCATAATTTAACCATTCTCCTACACATTTCACGCCACTTTTCAGACAGCATTTCATACAACAAAAAATAGGTAATCAAACTAATTAGTTTTCTAGTAATGATTTGTAGTATCAATATCAACATTGTCCTGTGTCTTCTGATTTTATTAAAATATTTCATATATTAATGAACATCACCCTTTCCGGATTGTAGACACTGTGAGCTCAAAAGTAAAAGTAAATCAGTAAAGTAGGTACTATCTCATCCCAACTGCATGCATTTTAAGAGATAGTTTGCATAATAATTTATCTTAGCACCTTTATATTCGGCAAATTCTGATAAATCTACCGTTATAAAACAAATATTAGCAGTTTAACCTCTAAGTTAGTACCAAGAAAATTCATAACGGCAACATAAACAATGCAGGGAAGAGTTAAATCGTGACTTACCTGACAGAAGATCGGATCCCTTTCACCTTTAGCTCTGGCGGTTCTCTAATCAAGTCCAATATTTACAAATAACACAATCGGAACACGGAAAACACGACCACGTTTAGGTTACCTTTTTCGCAGACTACAATACAACAAGCTCGACGGCTTTTACCAAACTGCCAGAGAATTTACTTGGCATAATCTGCGAACAGGCAAAATCAGCTGATTGTTGGAATCGTACGGCCATCTGGTATGAGACCAGCGGACTACATGTAGATACCTACAGCTAGTGGTTCGTTCTTCTACTATTTCCAATAGAAACTAAATAAAAGGTGAACTTATAAATAATTTCATCAAAATTCGTTAATAACTATTGCGTATTAAAAACAAAATAATTTATAGGTGGACAAATAAAAAATTTTTTAAATATATTTACACTGATTAAAATATTTCAGATAAAAGAAAAACCTAACCACTTGATATTTTTTTATAAAAAATCAAAAAAGTGCGCATTCTGAAAGCCTAAAGGCAAAGTGTATTAAACTCTTAAACACTTTTTGGTTTTTTCCCAATAGATAAGTCTAAATAAAATTTAAGATGGTAATACCAACAGTATTATAAACAAAGGTATTATACATTCATTATTATTGGCTGTCTCTTTTAATCGCGGGGTTTTAGATTTATTTTATTTATTATTATTATTATTGCGGACTGTTACAAACATTTAGGGCCCTGGATAATTTCGTGGTCTACTGTTGTAAGTACCTAAATAGAATTATTTTAATTTACATACCTTACCTACCTAGTCCTAGCTACTATTGCAGCTAGGACTTTAATCATAATTATGAAATTATGAATGTCTATTTTACTTAATTTTGTTATTTCCGGATATGGGCCATATCTAAATAGTAATAAGATTGTTTAGAGTATTTAAACAATGGTCATTTAAAAAAAACAAATAACGTAAATGACTCTTTGCACAGCACTCTGCTAAATATTGTAAGCAAACTTCAGAAATATATTCAAAATTAACTTTAAAATTAAGTTCTAGAAAATAGTCAGATACCCTGGACTGCCGAAATTGGTGCACATCTCAGACACAGCCAATACGCAGATAAATCTTCTACTAGTGTGACGGTCAGCAAACGGTTCGGTGACAGCTTGAAAATCCAACACAAACACCAAATTCCAAGTCAGCATTTGAGATTTGTTCTGCAGAAACGATAATTTCTTAAAGAGTATGCTCCAAACAATTGAAAATGTTGGCCACTGCTGCAGAACAAGTCTATACCGTATACTTGAATTAGACTAGGAATATGTATCTTGGATACTTTTATATTTTATTTTTATATGATGAATGTGAATGATGAATATAAATATTTTTAATTTTAATTAAAAACTGTCTAACATAAAAGAAAGTTTCTTTTAGGTAGATTCTACACACACCTGTAAGCGTAAGCAAATCTATAACTTTACAGAGAATTTACAATTCTGCGTTACAGATATGTAGCTTTACACACTCTTATGAAATAGTAATTTTTTACCTACCCTAACATCATTGACTTACAGGATTTCTTTGATGTTAGAAAGAGACAAAGTAGATTCCTCAAAATTCCTCACTATTTCAAATTACAAATTCCTCATTCTTCTCAAAATTCCTCACAGATTGGTAACACTTCTAATCAAAGTATTTGCATTTACAGAAGATAGAAAAATATCTCCACCCTAAACAAGTTTTCCCATATTTTATTTTGTAGATGGCTTTCATACTTTTAGTTATATTCAATTCTTATTTTATCACACAGGTAGGTAAGGACTTTCCTCAAGGTTTTTTACAATGGTCTTCGCAAAATTAATTTTATTATTAATCACCAGTACATTTTCTATTTGATAAAAACGAAATAATGTTCTGTAGAATTCAGAAACTTGTAACTAAATGTTCTTTCATGGAAATTATTACAAAATATTAATTTTCAATAACATATAAATCAATAAGAAAGAAATGTAATTGCTCTCATAGATATCTCTCATCCTGTAGAGTAGACTATCAAATTTGAATCGCTGTGATTGTTATTTGACGAGCATTAAATTACATGCAATTCAATATGAAACGGTGATTTTTTTCGTCTGAATTGTCACTAAAAATGTTGACCATTTTCAATAATTTTCGTAAAAACACATTCAGTTACAAGTTTCTGGACTCCATAAAACATGATGTCATTTTTATTATCAAGTAAGTTACATCTTTGATCATAATTAAATCAAAGTATTGAAAATCCATTGGCAGAATAATAAAATAATTGGTTAAGTTAAAATCGTTGGCAGTACTAAAAATTTACAAGAGAAAAAACTTGGAGAAAGTCCATATGTTTATGTTTGGAATTTATCAATTGAGTAATATTACCAAATAAAATAAAACTAAAGCAGAAAATGGAAAGTAGAATAAAATGGCAAGAAACTCATTTGTAGAGTTATCTGGCCGGCTTCTTCCCAAATTTATTACGACATTGACCAAGTGGAACATATTTTTGTATTTCTTGACACACAACACGCTTTAGAAAAATTACTTTTGAGTGTTGTCTCAAGCATGTAGCATTTCCTTACACATTTTCTTTGCAATAAAAATTCCCCTTCTGTAGTCAACCCGAATTACGAAATTAATATTGAAATAAAATAAAATAACAATTTAACTTAGATATTAAACAGTTTATGAGACAATCAGAACTGAAGTTGTAGTCACCTTAAAAAAATAAAAAAAGTTAATCAGCAGTAGAGATATTTTTCCTACTTCTGTAAATGCAATTGCTTTGGTAACTACATTAGAACATCTATATACAAGTTCTGACATCAAATTTCATTTGAATTTTTGTTGACTTTAATGCCTTGTAGTAGCTTTTCGCAGCATAGAGGTAAATTTAATTAGACGTCTTTATTATATCCCCTCGTATGTGTATGAAATATTGGGACACCCTGTACTTTGTTGACATTTATTATGATTTAGAATTGTTACTATATTATACATTATTTGCAATAGTAGTTATATTAAGAGGTTACAGTAAAACCACAAAACAATAAGCAAGTATCCACAAAATATACAACAGAAGTAAATACTACGAATAGTAAACATAAACGTAGTATGTATGAATTCTGAAACTGGAGTAGCACGAAAATACAGCTGTCGCTACTGATCTATCTATAATGTGATTAAACACTTTAATGAAAACACTGAATGAAAACAAATCCTTACAAATTGTTAAACATTTATTATCAAAATGTGCAAATCGAGTCAACTTCTAGATAGTTAAACTTACAACTCCTTACATAGGTACTCTAAAAAATTGTAAATCCTCAATACAATTCAGCCACATTCACACAAACCTACCAATATTTTATACCAAGACTTTAGGAACATTATATGTACTAAATTTACAAAACATATCTGGCTAATTTTTACATTTGAGTAAATATATAAAAAATTTGTCAAATATTATATAAACTAGCTTATAATTGGAACCAATGTTCTTAAAGCAAAATATTAATTGACACTTCATTTTTTCAGTATTGTATTTGTAATACTTAAAATGAAATATTTTTAGGTCATCCAGTATTAACACATAACAAATAATAACAGACCTTTCACTTCAAGAAGCTCAAGATTTGGCAGTTTCAAATATTATAAGCTATGGTACAAAAATGTTTCCTCTTATTTTATATTACTTTCATAATTATAATTTGTTTGGATCAAAATTGTTTTACCATCCAAATTTTGGACATGAATTTCTTAATATCACCACTCAGTAATAATTAAGTTTATTTTTCTTGTTTTTCCTAATACTTGGCAAAAGTTCAGTACAACCGCTGAGAGAGAAATAGTATTTTTCATTCAACGGTACAACATTATTCAAAGAACTATTTCTAATAATCAAATATTTATTTTTTGCTAGAGAGCGCAGAAATAAAAGTAATTTTTTAATTATTTATAAAATAAACGTTCCCGGTCATTCAACTATTGCTACTAAATAAAAATGATATCATTGGTAAGATACATACTGTCCTCCATTCTTTCTCGTTGAACAACTACCTGTTAACATTTCACAATTTACGATTTTTTAAATAGCTGCTCATAACTTTCTTTCCAGGTATTAGGCCCTGAGTTAAACCAGGCCTCTTACGTTTCTTGTTCTGCATAGCTTCGTCATTAATTTCTGTCAAGTCTTGTGTAGTTGGTTGAGCAGTAAACTGACTATGGCCCATTTGACCTCTTTGGCAGATAATAGAATTCTGAATTGCAGCTTCTTTTTCGGCCTTTAACTGATCCTCTGTTTTTTGTATGTCCGAATCGTGAGCAAATTTGCAGTTATGCCCAAAACGACACCTTCCTTTCCTGTAATTCCAACAAATTTTTTTACCGTTGATAACCATTGTATTGTCTTTAGTGTCCACCATTTTTACGTGCTTCTGTAGTATAGCCTCTTTTTCATTTTCTGCTTCTATAAAAGGATTCTTGAAAACTGAAGATTTAATTTCATCTTCAACTTTCGTCTCTCCGAAGTTTGGAGTTGGCAACTTTTGTGAAGGCAATGTTTTTTTTTCCTCTGTTTCACTAAAACATATGACAGCTGACCCATTTTTTACATAATTAAAATCTATAATTTATTCCGTATATTCAATATAAATACTGCTCAAAGGCGTAAGTAACTATATATCTAGAGTGCGAAAGCCTTACCTATTATCTTCAATTTCCGACTCTGAATTTTCGCTGCTAGACGAATTAGAATCTGAAGAATCTCCATAATCTGCTACTAGTGACATTTTTAAATAAATGATACTTTACGCTTAGTTAAAAATAACCAGTTCTTCATAGAGTAATAATAAATCAAAACAACAAAACTTCAACAAACATGATTAATGTCAATGTCTGTCTGACGTCAAAAACATAAACCACAGAATATTTAGAAACCAGAAACTATATACGGCAAATTACCGACTTCTATAGAGCGTATTCCATTGGAAATTATTCAACTAGAGGAGCAAGGAACGATATATTCTAAAACAGTTCTGTTTAATAAGCTTCAATTATAAATAAAGGCTTTTATTCGGAAAAATACATATCACGTTTAAAATAAATATAACGTTGTTTGCAAATTAGATAAATAGTCGATCTAAAATCACAAATCAGTTTAATAAACTACAGAACTCTGTTTAAATAACACAATATTTCTATGATTACTTAATAAAATCAACAAATTTAAATTTATATATCTATACATATCTATTCCGTTTTAGATTTGACTTTCCCTTTACCAAAGGTACCCCAGTACCTCAACATCGTTCTAACACCAATGTATAGTAGATATATAACTAGTGAAGTTATTACAACTACAAAACTAATCACATCTAGCAAGTGGTATTTATACCACGAGAATTTGATTCCAGCCACTTTAAGATGAGGAGCCCCCCTTGTTCTTATGACGTATTCTACCCAGTAAGCAGCTGCGTCCATAGGCTTCTGTGGTCTATCATGAAATAATTGTGATCTTTTCTTCACGTTTTCCGTGTATCTAAAATGCAAAGTATTATACAGGGCGAATTAGATTTTCACAATGTAAAAATTCATTTTAAAAATAAAAAGTGGTCTTGTCAAAAGTACAGATACAGATTTTATCTGTTGCATTTCTTCCAGATATTTAACATATCTACAACTTACTTCGGATTAGTGAGCAGCTCCTGTAAATATTGTGATAGTTTTTCCTCCGAAAATGAGGGATCTTCCATGGGTAAATAGAGGGCGAATCCATTGTGAGTGGCTAGTTTTGCGTTGAGATGTTGGTCTGCAAAAACTGGGATTCCCAGTACAGGTACACCGTGATAAACCGTCTCTGTTATACTCAGAAGTCCGCTATGGGTTATGAACAATTTCACATTTGGATGTGCTGCAAATACGAGAAAATTTTGTTTACGTATACATATCTATTGGTTGAATTACGTTTGCTTCAAAGTCACATATTATAGAAAATGTGCTAATGGTTTAGATCTGATCCATCGATTGTAAAATCAACTCGTGTCAATAATTTCTTGTTCTGATTTAAAACCAAAGTGGAACCACTACCAAAAATTCTATTTTCTGTAATTTTGATGTATTTGAAAACCAAAAATCGGAAATAAATAAAATTTAGTGATTGAATTTTAATTAACTCCGGTTCTGGATGGTAGAATTGATCTTCGATCTATTGAACTTGCAGCTTTAACCTTTCTTTCGCAAAATAAGCCGGAATTGATTTTGACAAACTAAAACTTAGTCCCGACTGGTGCTAAATAAAATTTCATAATTTTTTTTATACGTTCTGAGCTAGTCTCACCTAGTATGTCCTGCTGAGGTATCCATTTGGCTAATTTAACATTAGGAGGTTTTCCGGGTAGATCATCCGCCTCCCACTTCCATAACACTTTCGCTTTAAGTTTTCCAAATGCCTTTAATATTGCATCTCTCCTGTAAGGATTAAGGCTTTTGCTTTTCAAATTAGACCCTAAACTGAAATACACAACGCCTTCTTTAGCATTGTCGAGATATTCCTGTAGATCCTTTGGTAACTTTTTAGGGGGGTTGACATGATAACCACCAATTTGAACCATATTGGGCACAGAAGGGACAGGTTGGTTTAAACTTTCGTGAGAGTTTAATAAAACCAACGATACATTGTAGAACACGTCATAAATGTCTGGAGCATCAGGAAAATGTTTTTTCAGAATTCTGTTTTGATCAGGAAAATATACTAGCCGGTCGATAGCTTGGAGCATTAAATATGAAAACAGATTTAACAGCCTGTCAGTAAAGGACATATATGGATAATTAACATCTGGTAAAAATGAAACGTAAGATAGCGGTGATGGATTTCCAGCAATATTATTTGTCCATGGAGTAGGGCCCATTGTACTAAAAACAATTACAGGAATTTTGTAGATGTGGCCGAAGATCTTCATGACTTCATTTAGGAATTGTTCAACTATTACAACATCAAATTCTTCGTCTGATTTTAGAAGATTTTGTACATTTTCGTGTGCGAAAAACTTGTCGTTTAATTCCGACATGACATTAAAAAACTGACTCATTGAAGCGAGCATACTCTGGTTCTTATTTTGCATGAGATTCAAAACATGTTTCAATGCTGAAAAATACAAATTTTGTTATTATGTATTCACATCTTAAATTATATTTGTAATAAGATTGTGCTTCAGAAAAAAATTTAATGATGATTCCTCTCGTAAAACAAATCAAAAACCAAAAGAAAAAATGTTTTTAAAACCATAAACATCCTTCATTCATTGGATATGACCTGCAATTGTTCATTAATTTATTATTGATCAGTTACTAAAGATATAGACTTCGGTACAGACAGTACCCAGTTCTCTTCAAGTAAAATCTGAATAAAGTTATTTAACATTAGAGGGAATATTTTTTATGGATGGGTCATTTCTAATCAAAACTTTATTGTCATTGAGTTTTTTACTAAATAACAACCTTTCTCTCTGCTCAAACCCAATCAAATTTTTCACTTTGAGGTTCAAAACCAAAAAAATTTTATAAGCATCTTTCTTGTGTTGATTGATCTTTTTCTATTATAAAGTATTTAATAGACTTGATCGGTGCAAACGGACATCAGATTCGAATTCAACGACCCCAAAAACGTATAGATATGTAGGTTTACTTAGTTTTCAATTGATTCTCTACATTTGACCTTGAACTGACCTCACCCTAGACCTTTTTGAGTCTAACGGACACCGGATTCGGTTTCGGCGACCCCAAAAACGTGTAGATAGTAGATACATAGCTTTATTTTGTTGACAATTCATTTTCTACATTTGAACTTGAACTGACCTTAAACCAGAGCTGATCGCGTCAAACGGACACCGGATTCGAATTCGGCGACCCCAAAAACGTATAGATACGTAGGTTTAGTTTGTTGACAATTAATTTTCTACATTTGACCTTGAACTGACCTTAAACCAGAGCTAATCGTGTCAAACGGACACCAGATTCGGATTCAGCGACTAAAAAACCATATGGATACCATGGTCTTGTCTTTCGGACCTGTCACTTTCTTTTTTGTGGGGCTGTGTAATTATATGTATTGTATGAATTCGTCTGATTACTTTTCATTCAAACAAATACGAATATGTTCGTCTACTAAAAACGTCACTGACTTTTACCCAGTTTTTAGACTTTTAACCGTGAACAGTACATTCTAAAAAGAGAGAAAAAGTTTTTTTGAAGAGGTCTATTCAGTTCTATATAAGAAGATACCCTGTGATGACAAATTACTTTTTTTATCAGATTACGACCTTCGTTTCTTATGGTTAGTTGGTATCTGAAGATCTCTATGAGAATCAAAGTTATATCCCCATTCGCGTAGCTAAGGGGGGCAGAAAACCCGGTGCCCACCCCAGAAAAAAGAGATCCAATAATATTACCTTTCTCATATGGTCTTACTGACTGCACCACCTTTTTTTAGAATCAGACGCGAGAGTGCTCAGGTTTTGAAAAATTATATCGGTAAATCGTTGATTACGTGTGCTTTGTTTTTGGTGGCCTCCATAGAGCTTGAAGCAGCCCTGGGCCCACCCCAAGCTACGCCCATGTATATTCCAGCAGTATTCCAGCAAATATAGCCAACACAGCAGTACAGTTGTTTCAAAATCTTATGAGCTTTGACTTTGATACTCGCAGAAACATAATTCCGACCGTCGCCGTCGCCTAAATTATTCTACGTCTACATTACATCCATTATTCACAGTCTATCGGGAGCTCTCGTACCGTAAACAAGCCTTTGCTCCGATTTCCGATTACAAATATCATAATAAATTGAGTCAATGTTTTCATAACGTGCTTATTAGAAAAATTATGTGGATACGCCACGCCTTTCGCGGCTGATGAGATTTTGAAACTACTCTAACAGCTTTATGTTCTGTTACTGGTAGATCGTTGGTATAACAGCAAATGTAGTATACACCCGTTACTTTTCTTACAGGACCAAGTATGCATCTTACTTAATTATAAAGAGTCAATCAGATTGTTTTGACGAAAGAATCAGCCCTGATAGTTTATCACAATGTCGCTATTACACTCTGCATATACCTAGATTGCTAGATGATATCGTTATTTTGAAAACTCTGAAACAGTTAGAAAAAAAAACAAAAATGAATCTATGAACGTTTTGTCATTAAAACCAATGAATAAAAGAAAAAATATATTTACTCTCAAATTCTTCTACGAACCCAGTTAAGACCACATCTTTATAGCTACCCCTTTTGGGTGGATTTTTGTCTTCAAACGGGCTAATCATAGTAACGTTGTGGCCCTCCTCAGCCAATCCTTTCATCAAAGCACGACCCAAAATATAATGACTTGGAATGGTAGTTGGGAATATACCTAAAATACGAGCACTATTCGCTGTACAGCACAACGCGTAGAGTAGAGTTAACGTTAACATTTTGTTAATCAACATTTTTTATTATTAAAACCTTATTGTTAAGTTGTTCGCACTAACTAGAAAAGTTGTTATTGTGCTTTCCTTTTATACTTAAACGTTACAATATTTTTATAACGTTCAGATTAAGTAAATAACGTTACTAGACAAAAATTTAAAGTACTCTTAAATTAAGTGGTAATATCTGTTAAGAAATACTAATAAATTATATATGTAATTACTTGATTAAAGCATGACTAGTTTGTTTAGAAATGCACACATGCTTATCATCTTACGAGAATGATGCAGTATTTCATGTCATTGTTTGGGTGAATACGTCAATATTTTATATTTGCAACCAAAGAAGTAAGAGATTATGGTTAGTAATGTAATAATATTTATGTTTTTTGTGGAGGGAAGTTATTACGCTATACAATTCAACCGCCTGGAATTAGTTTGACACTTGGAAAATACCTAATATCTATATATAGTATTTGTTTATATATAAATACGTTTAATATAGTAAGTGCAATAAGTGTATTATGTTATATTAATCAAAATATATAAAAAATATAATCAATCTTATCTACAAATGAATATGTAGTTTGAAAATGTTATTTAAACATATATAAATATAATAATCCCTAAAACTAAATAACAAAAAAAAAGAATAATAATATTTGTATAGGTTTACATATTTTAAGTAAAACTTATAAATTGTGCCATTTGTATTGTTATTAAAAATTATAAACCTTGAATTTGCATCTAGAAATGTTTACATTTCAAATAATTGTCAATTATTCTTATATCACTTAAGTTATACCTACATATTATGTGAAATCGTTTGAAAGTTGTAAATCTAATGTGTTAATTATTATTAATCTAATCTAATTGATATTGGAACTCTCCACATATTTCTACAAATTTTCTAGATATAAAACAAAATCAGAATTAATTTGTGTTTTTAAATAATAAAATCATTTGACATACCCGATATTACAACAACAATTGTTCAAAATTTTATCCACCAACGTGTAAACACATTTGGGTTCGTCTTATTCAGTTTCTACGAACTAACACAAATGTTGTCTTGCTTCACCATTACACAAATACTTCACCATAAATTAAAACGATACCCATCAACTCCGTGTTGCTATAAACGCAAACTATTTTTACACTAACTACCCATTTTTGACACTAACTACTAAAAAACTATTGTAAACACCACAGATAACAGGTAAACACTATCGCAAAGACGATTGCAAAATCGGATTTCAGTATTCGCATAAGAGTAACTAAATAAGAGGCTTTTATTGGATAGGGAGGATCGAACATGCATTCACTGAGGCCATCTCACGTTGTTGTAGCAAAACATTGTCTTTTATGGAAATTGTTAAACAGAAATCTGCAACCACAGATCGAATCTGTATTTTCAAGCTTTCAGTCAACAGAAATAGAATGCGTTGACTGAAATATTTCAATAACGTAGCCCTGGGCACAATTATTTATAATAATACTAAGAATAGGTACCAGAATTTGTATGCAATCGGTAAATGTTTGAAGCGCCTAGCAGCATGGTGACTTATTTGGATTGATGAAGTTGTTGGTTCATTGGAATTGTCTAGATTATTTTATTTATTTAGTCGGAAATATTTAATACCTACTTTAGTTGTGTTATTTTCTCTAGTACTAGACTGTTGTTTAGAATTTGTCAGGATTTTTTGAGAAATGTGAATCTTATTTGATAAGCAGTCATAGATACTACTATAATGCAATACTAATAAAAAAAACATAATTAATTCAACTTAATTTATGTACATTGTTTTTGAGTCGAACTTTTAGAATTTTGTTTCAAATGCTCGAACTTTATGAAAATTATCAAAATTAATATTTTTCTTGACTTTAAAAGAGCTTTTCAACAGACCGTAGTGTACCTGCTTTTATAATCTTTTATCTTTCTGATAGATAAGCAAATAGTACATTTTCTGTTAAATAGTACATTTTCTATTAAGTTTTTGGCTTTTTTATTCCTTTTCCAGTTATTGAACACATCATTCTTTTCGTACCGTTGTTTTGACTTTGTAGTTATATTCAGAGAAATATTGCTAGCTTCCTCTTGCAAGTCCAGTGGAGTATTTGTAAATTATTCGTCACTGTCTGAGTTACCATTCATTTTAACTTATGTACATATTCACAGAATTACAGTTGTTCACACTTATTGTTATATTAACTTTTGTTGTTTGTTTTGATTCGAAATTTTGACATTTAATGAAAAAATATATAAAACGTAAATGACAATCAAAGGTGTCTAGATTGTAAAAAACTACTAAATCTTATTATAAGTTATTTAGCAGTCCAAGGGTCGATAAATATTACTTTCGGTCATATTTTTACGGTCAATATGATTCATTTTCACATATGCTAGGCGAAAAATAATTTAGCTGAAATGTCAAGATTTTTAATGAATAACTAACTTGGGATCAGTGAGCAGTTCGTGAAGCAATTCCGTTAATTTTTCGTTAATTCCACCGAGTGTGGCCTGTTCTGCGTTAAGGTGTTGATCTCCAAAAACTGGGATTCCCAATCTCTATCAGCTGCCGGCTATCATTTTTCAGAATAAAGCTACTGAAAGTAGGGTTCATATTTTTTGCTGTTTTTCTAGCAATATTTCTAGAGACTTCCTTATATAGCTGAAAGTAGAAAAAAAATATCTTCCAGAATTGATAAAAAAATATATAGTATGCCATTTGAACGAAAACAGTTGACTACAGCAATTTTGACATATGTTACCATAGAGACGAACTAATAATGTCATTTGATAGAGTTTGAGCGGCGATTTAAAAATATATAGGGTTTGTGATAGCTATTTATTAAAATAAAAGAGATACGAGGCCGCGAATACCAAACTGAATCACCCGGTATAATAAAATTTGAATGTAAACTAAACAATTATGACTACAAAGTATGCAAACGTACTGATTTTAGAATTTTGCCAAATAATAAAGAATTTTAAAATTTACGGTGCGATATAATGTTTTCCCAGATTTATCTAAAATTAGGTATTTTTACGATATTTAGACTAACACTTATCAGAAATACAAAATGTTGCGGGCATACTTGCTCCATAGACGTCATTATTATTGAAGAGAATCCAAAGATATAATTGTGATTTTAATATGATATAATCTAGAAATCAAGTTTTGGAAGTATCTTGGAAACAGATGTAAATAAACAAGAAATAAAAAATATGTTTTCCACAATGATGTAATTAATCAATCCCACACGAAACTTACGAAATTGGTGACCCCGACGTGATCGAAAACTAACGAAAAATTTTGAACGAGAGACAGAAGGCCGCAATGAAAAGCTGCAGTTGCAGCTACCATCTTCAGCTTAAAGAGTTCGGGCGAAAACTAGAAGGGTGGTGGAGGATTAGCAATCAGCTCATCATCTGTAAATCAAGTGAGAGCGAGGAGCACAGAACTCAAGAGGAGAAACAATAATCAAGAAAAGGAATCGAGTTATTCGTGGTCGTGAAGATCATATCGGATTTCAGCAAACAATTGTAGGTGAACTATGAGAGTGGGTGTAAGTAACAATAATACTCCCATAATCCGGCTATTGAAATTTAACTAAAGTAGCTTATATTTATATTGACCACAGTAGTAAATACAATTAATTATTAGTAACATGACAGATTCTGATACTAATGTGAATCAAATGTCAGATGGGACGAATCAAATAGCTTCATCATCATTAAAATTACCTAAATTTTGGATTTGGTTTTATCAATTAGAAGCCCAATTTGTTTTAAACAAGATTAAATCAGATAAAGTTAAATATATCATCATGGCTACATTACCTTTAGAAGTTGTGTTAAATATCATTGATATTATTTAAAATTCTCCAAATAATAATTTATATATGTATAAATTGAAAGGAAAAAATCATTAATAATAGGCTAACTGCCCTCTCATTTTTTTTAGAGATATGTGAACGACAGTGAGGGAATCAGCAGTAGTCAGTCAAGAATTACTATTAAAATTGTGGAAAAAACGATTGCCAAAATATATTTCATTAACTATAACAGTATCAGGAAAAGTTAAAGTCAATGAGATTTTAGATATACCAGATAAAATTGGGAAACATACAAAAGTACTAACATATCAGTTACTAATTCAAACATTATGTATAAACAGTAAACAATAAAATAATATTGATAATTCAAGGGTAGTTAATACATTAACTTTACAAAGGTATAAACGAGCTCCCAAGTAAATTTAAAGTCATTTGACTCATTTACAAATAAAAATCTAGAATTGGAATCAAATATTAATATATTACAAACACAAATAATGAACAATAGGACTGATCATGGAAATTTAAGACAGTTATAGTGGCTATAGACAAAATTTTAAATATAGAAGTAACAGTAGGGATAGAGGTTATAACAAAAACAAAAAAATATGTTATTATCATCAAAAATTCAAAGATAAAGCAACTAAATGCGAAGGACCGTGGTGCAAATTTTTCAATTTGAAACTGAATCATTCCAATTGAGGCGTCAAATCACGGAACCTATTTTCAAAGTCGCCGAATGTTTATTTATTATGAAACTAATAGATTAAACTTCTTAATCTTTACGGGAGCAGACATTTCGATCAAGCCTAGAGGTGTTTTTAAAAACTTCAAAAAACATGCAGATATACAGTTATCTGCAGCTAATGGCCAAAAAATTTCAACTTTTGCAAACAATATTTAAAAGTTAATTTAGGTTTGAGAAGGGAAATTCATTTCATTTTCACAGTTGCAAATACTAACCGCCCTATCGTTGGCGACCAAGAATAATATTGCTGTCACATATCTTAATAACTTGTCAGTTCAAACTACAAACAATTCGTTGATTATTTATACTTTCTATAAAGGACAAAATTTGAAACAATAAAGAATTAGTTACATTACTACTATTGGATTACTATTATCTACACTACAGTACACTACTTAAAGTATTGTTATCTCTGTAATTTATTGTCTAATAAATAGCAGTTTATAATCTAAATGCATTTAATCCCTTTTGGATTTAATTTTCGCTTTACTGCATATACTCATCAAAATCTTTCTAATTCCGGCATATGATACATAAATAACTAAGGAGAATACTACGATTACAAAACTAATAACGTCCAAAGAATGGTATTTAAACCATGAGAAATTAGCTCCAGCCACTCTAAGATGAGGAGCCCCCTCAGTCCTTATGACATATTCCACCCAATAGACAGCTACGTCCATGGGTTTTAGTGGTCTATCGTGAAACATCTGCGATCTTTTCCTCACGTTTTCTCTATACCTGTAAAGAAAGACGTATAAACAAGTGTACCCTTGTGCTTTTACAGACATCTTACTTGGAATTAGTGAGTAGTTCCTCTAACATTTTCGATATTTTTTCTTCTGAAAATGTGGGATCTTCGTATGGCAAAGAAAGAGCATATCCACCAAGAGTGGCCATTCTTGCGTTGATGTGTTGATCTGCAAAAACTGGAATTCCCAATATGGGTACACCGTGATAAATAGCCTCAGTTGTACTAAGTAGACCGTTATGGGTTATAAATAACTTGACATTTGGATGAGCTGGAGAATTAAAAATATATATGTAACTTTTTATATCTGTAGTTACTGATTTTGTTGTCGTTACCTAATATATCCTGCTGGGGAAGCCATTTGCCTAATTTAACATTAGGAGGTTTTCCAGGTAAATCGTCTACTTCCCATTTCCACAAGACTTTCTGCTTAAGTTTGCTAAAGGCCTTTAAGAAGGCGTTTCTTTTGTTCGGAGGCAGATCTTTGCTTTTCAGATTGGATCCCAAACTGAAATACACCACACCTTCTTCAGCATTGTCGAGATATTCTTGCAGATCCTTTGGTAGTTTTTTGGGAGGTGTGACATGGTAACCACCTATATGAACCATATTGGGCACAAAAGGAACGGGTTGGTTCAAACTTTCGTGTGAATTTAATAAAATCAATGAGACGTTGTAATAGAGATCAGAAAGGTCTGGTGCATCAGGAAAGTGTTTTTTCAAAATTCTGCTTTGATCGGGAAAAAGAATAAATTTGTCCATTGCTGCGAACATTAAATATGAAAACAGGTTTGAAAGCCTTTCTGTGAAAGACATATCCAGTGATGAGACAGACGAAATTGGTTGTGGGATATAAGATAATGGCGATGGATTTCCAACGATATTATTTACCCACGGATTAGGACCTAGCGTACTTAAAGCAATTACGGGAACGTTGTAAATGTGGCCCAGGACCTTTATCGCGTCATTTAAGAACTGCTCAACTATTACAACATCAAACTTTTCATCAGATTTTAAAAGCATCTGAACATTTGCGTGAGCAAAAAAGTCGTCGTTCAATTTTGAGATTATGCCTAAAAATTTGGACATTGTTGCGAATGTACTCTGGTTCTTATTGTCGAAGAGATTCATAACTTGCATAATTTCTGGAAAATAATATATTTCATTATCATTCTCTTTTTATGTACAGACTGTTTCTTAAGTGTCTGAAATATTTGAAAGGGTGATTCTTCAAAACATTTTACGAAGAAAAATTCATATAACATATTATGTTCATTACCTGACACATTTCTTAGCATTTTTTCACTTACAGCTTAATTCTGGAGAGAATTGCTATTTTATTAAAAATACAATATTTTAAGACCCATAACTTCTTTTAGGAATTAATAACATCGTAGATCCTTAATGGATAATTACTAAAATGCTAACACTGGACTAAATGTTGAAAATGATGGCCACGGTGTAAGCTACAATTCTGATGCAATTATACTCGACGGCCGAAATTATAGATAGTGATTCATCGCTAGCTCTTGGACTAGTAAGGAGGACGAGGCGTGCGGGGATCGAAAATCCATAGGCTTGTTTACGTAAATGGCAACAAGATGTAGAAAATATGGAAAAAATATAATAAAACATAACATCTATTATTTTAAGAGGTTTTATCGAGAAAACTTCAAAAATATTTTAGTAACATTTTGTTTTTAAATTTTAAGTGTTTTCTATAAAACGATGACCCACCACCACCCGGCTTACGCCGGCCGCCGCAAAATATTGTAATGTTTACTATTAATATATTTATTGAAGTAGGTACTTACATATTTTATAATAATTATCTCACGAATATTATCACTGTCACACTTTCACTTCACTGCCACATAATCATTTCACTATTAATATATTTAAATACTCACATATTTTATAATAATTATCTCACGAATATTATCACTGTCACACTTTCACTTCACTGCCACATAATCACTTCACTATTAATATATTTAAATACTTACATATCACATTATTCACATTATATATTTCACATATCACTGTTGCTATCACTATCACTAGAAACATCTTCACCCAAATGAATAATGACTGGTTCTATGAACACTTCTACCGTTGTATCAAGATCCCACATACGTTGTTCCTCTTTCTGTGCATGTCCAATACACTTACACCATGTTTCAGCAGTGACGTGATTAATAGCATCCTGTAATAATAATTTCACGTCGTTTATTTTAAAGGTGGTGTTTTTTCGTGCGATTTCATTCTTTATTTGTGCCCAAACCAACTCAATTGGGTTTAATTCACAGTGGTATGGCGGTAAACGGAGTACACGAATTCCTCGATCTTTGGCCATCTCATCCACTACATACTTAATGTATTGACCTTTTTCTCTTTGGACAATTTTTAATAATTGTACTTTTAGCATGGTTTCTGTATATTCAATATTTTTCGATTGTAACCAGTCCATAATATTTCCTTTTCTCCATGCTGATGTCGGTAACATTTCAACTCTTCTACTATGATAAGGTGCGTTATCCATCACAACAACTGCTCCTGGCTCCAGATATGATAAAACATATTCAAACCATTTTTCAAACACGTCGCTGTTCATATCTTCATGATAATCTCCCGTTTTT